AGTTGAAGATGGAAGACCGAACTGTGCATTTTTGCCACATTTTACTGTTTTACTTCCATAAAGGGAAGAACGCGCATCAAGCTGGTGAAAAGTTGCATAAAGTTTACGGTGACAATGCTCTATAAGAACGTCAGTGCCAAAAATGGTTCACGAAATACTGTGCTGGTGATTTTGATCTCAATGACGCTCCTCGGTCAGGGAGGCCCACCAAGGTTGATGGCGACAAAATAAAGGCATTGATCGAGTCAAATCCATGTTACATGACACTAGAGATTGCAGAAACATTGAACATCCATCATTCAGGAGTTCACAACCACCTGAAGAAGATGGGATACGTAAGCAAACTCGATATTTGGGTTCCGCATGAACTCAACGAAGTTCATTTGACAGTGTGTATAAACATCTGCAATATGCTCAATAAACGTGAGGAAAATTATCCTTTTTTGAAGCAACTGATAACTGGCGATGAGAAGTGGATTGTTTACAACAATGTGGTGCACAAACAGTCTTGGTCCCGACGTGATGATTTGCCTCAAACGACATCGAAAGCAGACATTCATCAGAGGAAGGTTATGCTCTCAGTGTGGTGGGATTTTAAAGGTGTTGTGTTTTTTTGAGCTCCTACCAAGGAACCAAACAATCAATTCAAATGTGTACTGTCGGCAATTGGACAGTCTGAACGAATCCATCATCCAGAAACATCCAGAGCTCGTTAATTGTAAAGGAGTTGTGTTCCATTGCAACAACATGAGACAACACACAAGTTTGATCACCTGTCAAAAATTATTGGAGCTTGGATGGGATGTGTTGCCACACCCACCATACTCGCCTGACCTTGCACCATCAGATTTCCATTTGTCTCGCTCTCTTCAAAACTCCCTGCATGGTATAACATTCAATTCAGATGAGGCTGTAAATCAGCACCTTGTTCAGTTTTTCGCAAATAAAGAGAGGTCCTTCTATGAATGAAGAATTATGAAGCTCACTGAAGATGGCAAAAGGTTACTGAAAAAACGGGCAATATATCATTGATTGATCTTTGTTCTTTATATAAATAAATGCCCTTTGAAAAACATAGGCAAAATACGTCATGACTTTTCCGACAACCCAACATATTTCCAGATGCATTTTACTTCAATAAAGAAAAGGTTTTGGGCCAGCCAAGTGGCTCAGTTGGTTAAGAGCACAAGCTCTGAGCAACAGGGTCGCCAGTTCAATTCCCACGAGCCAGTGAGCTGTACCCAAGCCGAGCTGGCAATGAGCTGCCAACAGGTGGCAGGAAGGCTGCTGGTGAGAGCACATGCTCCTAACAATAAGGTTGCCGGTTTCACTCCTGCATGGGATAATGGGCCATGCCCATCTGCAGCTAAGATTGAATATGGCACCTTGAGCCAAGCAGAGGCAAGCTGCTGACGGGCAGCTTGATGGCAACTGGATTTGGAGCTGAGTTAGCTGCACCCTCCACAACTAAAACTGAAGGTCACAACTTGGCTGTTCCCCTTCCCCAATTCCCCAACACTGTTCCCCTTCTCCAATTCCCCAATAAAATCTTTTTTTTTTTTAAAGTCTTTATAAGATATTACCCTGGTACTTTCTGTCGGTGGACGCCACCGCGTAAGCATTGTTCAAGTCTCCCCTCCTGCGGTTGTCATGTCTAAATCAGTCTCCCAAAGAACCTGAAGAGCTGCAGAAACTCTTCTTTGGAGGTTTGAGCTTTGAAACTGTTGCGAGTCTGAGGAACCATTCTGAGCATTCAATGGGGAACGCTCACAGACTGTGTGGTGATGAGAGACCCAAACACCAAGCGCTCCAGAGCCTTTGGGTTTGTCACCTGTGCCACCGTGGAGGTGGTGGGTGCAGCCATGGAGGTGGTGGGTGCAGCCATGAAGACAAGGCCACACAAAGTGAATGGAAGAGCTGTGGGACCGAAGAGGGCTGCCTCAAGAGAAGATTCTCAAAGACCTGGTGCCCACTTATCTGTGAGAAAGATTTTTGTGGGTGGTATTAAAGAAGACACTGGAGAACATCACCTAAGAGATGATTTTGAACAGTGTGGGAAAACTGAAGTGATTGAAATCATGACTGACCCAGGCAGTGGTGAGAAGAGAGGCTTTGCTTTTGTAACCTTTGGTGACCATGACTCTGTAGACATGACTGTCATTCAGAAATACCATGCTGTGAATGGTCACAACTGTGAAGTAAGGAAAGCCCTATCTAAGCAACAGATGGCTAGTGCTTCATTCAGCTAAAAAGGTCGAAGCGGTTCTGGAAACTTTGGTGGTGGTTGAGGAGGTGGTTTTGGCGTGAATGATAACTTTGGTCGTGGAAAAAAACTTCAGTGGTTGAGGTGGCAGTATTGGTGAAGAATATGGTGGCAGTAGGGATGGCTATAATGGATTTGGTAATGATGGAAGCAATCAATCTTCAAATTTTGGACCCACAAAAGGAAACTTTGGAGGCAGAGGCTCTGGACCCTATGACGGTGGAGGCCAATACTTTGCCAAACCACAAAACCAAGGTGGCTATGGCGGTTCCAGTAGCAACAGTAGCTATGGCAGTGGCAGGTTTTAATTACAGCCAAGAAACAAAGCTTAACAGAAGAGGACAGCCACAGATGTGATAGGGAAGCTGCAGGTTACAACAGATTTGTGAACTCAGCCAAGCACAGTGGTGGCAGGGCCTAGCTGCTACATACAAAGAGGACATGTTTTAGACAATACTCGTGTGTGGGCAAACAACTCAAGGACTGTATTTGTGACTAATTGTATAACAGGTTATTTTAGTTTGTGTTCTGTGGAAAGCGTAAAGCATTCCAACAGGGTTTTAACATAAAAAAGGGTTTTAATGTAGTAGTTTTGTTTTTGCACCCATGCTGCTGATTGCTAAATGTAATAGTCTGATCATGACACTGGATAAATGTGTCTTTAAAAAAAAACAAACAAAAAAAAACATATATATATATATATATATATATATATATCCCCCCAGCAATTCTACTCACTGTTAATTTAAAAACATAATGCCTAGGTAAAGATTATTTTCATGAATCTTTTAAATGTTAGTTGTGATTTTAAAATCATTTCCTTTTTTCTGCTGACATGAATCTATGTTTTTAACATTTTATAATATGTTATACACCAAGCTTTTGATACTACCTGGCACTAATACTTTCAAGACCATGACCACATTTTCTTTATTAAATCAAGAAAATCCTCTAATATGCTCAGACATGCACAAAGCAAAATAAACTTCCAGGAGGAAAAAAAAAGAGCCTGAGTTCAAGAGGGAAAGGTGATAGAAAACAAAAGACAACAAACAGTTAAATAGTTATTAATAAAGAAGGAAAAATAAAATAAAGGAGGAAGAACATACTACTAAACAAGGAAATTTGACAGTCACAAAAAGGAAGAAAATTGGGCCAGCCGAGTGGCGCGTTGGTTAAGAGTTGGCTTGGGACGCCAGCTCTGAGCAGCAGGGCCCAGTTCGGATCCTACATGAGGGCCAGTGATGCTGCACCCTCTACAGCTAAGATGGTGAAAGCAGCTCAACCTGGAGCTGGGCTGCTGTGAGTCCCCAGCGATAGCGTAGACTGCAGTGAAGCTGCAGTGGACTGCCATAAGCTACCGTGAGTGGCTGGCAGCTGGCGTGAGCAGCCGGCAGCCGGCATGAGCTGCCAAGAGCTACTGCTAGCAGCCGTCCAGTGGCCGGCGACCGATCTGCCTCACCCGGGAAGAGCTCAATGATAATACCAACACGGGCCAGTGAAGCGACATCCTGCACAACTAGACAGAAGAACAAAAGGACAGCAACTTGTCTGTCCCCCTTCCCCGATTCCCCAACACTGTTCCCCTCCCCCAAATCCCCAATAAAAATCTTTAAAAATATATATATATATAATAAGCTTTCAAAAAGAAATATAGTAAGAAAAGTTTATATATCATAATCATCCATTCAAATGGATAGCTTATTGCCCACAAAGAGGGCTGAACAAGTTTTTAATATCTGAACGAACCAGCTGATAGAGAATCCAAAATTCAAAAGAAACCAATTTGCAGCAATGGGACTTAACCTCTCTCATCCTGGACAGTAGCTTTTAAAGGAAAATATGGCGTCACAGTTTAAAAGTTTACAGGAGACAAAGCCTCAAGAGTATGATATCAACCAAGGTCCAACCAGGAAATTAAAACAACTCAGTGTATTTGTAATTGGGAATACAATGCAGGCAATTGGTTACACAAGTGACAAAATAGCTGAAAAGCCAAAAAAGGAACTGTGAGGCAACCTCCTGGATTAGCAACAGCAGGAAGTCATTACCACTCCAAGGCTAGGGAGACACAGACACAGAAGAACACAGGGTGCTGAGGTCACCTGGTAGAAACTGGACGCCCATGGAGCTGCCCAGAGGAAGCTAGAACCACGAGGAAATGCAGCTACTGACACAGAGAAGACAAGAGAATAATTCCCTTCCCTCTCCCATCCTCCCATTCAATTTCTCACCAGTGCCTCTCAAAAGATGACAGGCATGGTAGCCCGGGAACAGACTAGAGGCAGGCCCCTTGCAAGAGAGAACAGAAAGGAGCAATGAAATGGATGTACTTGAGAACAGGACTATGGCTGGCATCAAATCTATTCAGAAAAAAATAATTTTAAAGTCTAAAAAAACTCAACATTAATGATTATTTTGGAGTTATAAATCCTATACTACTAACCACACTTGAATTAATAACTTTTCTAAGAAAATTTTATCTCACTTGGACTTAAATTTTAAGGCGAGGCATTATATGTTACAGTTACTTTCAGACTTGTACAATACACTATGAGTTCTAATTAAGTTTTTTTAGCGTGGTTATGTTACTTTTTCAATTAAAAATAGATTTATGTTGAAAACTAAAAAGTTACTGTATGAGACAGTAATCTGACTCAAGGGTTCTCTTTTTGGAATCAGGTCAACCCCAAACAAACATTTAATTCTTATGTCCCCAAAAAAATTAAAACCATACCATTTAAATCTGCATTTTCAAATCTGACCCAGACTATTTTCTCCTTTTCTTCTGTTAGAGGTGTTCCACTGTAAGCCTGCATAGTAAACAGAAATGTTTGAATAAAAATATTTTACAGCTCTAATATAATATTATTGATGTTCAAAACAAAGAGTAACTTAAATAAAGCCAACCCCATCCCTCTACAACTTTATCAATCCTACCTCTGGGGTACTAGTGCATTTTGTAATATTTTTAATCCCAAAGAAAGTTATCCAGGAATCTGAAAACCTTGGTCAAAAAAGGGTTTTTAGGGCCAGCCGAGTGGCTCAGTTGGTTAAGAGCCCACTCAAGAGTACGAGCTCTGAGCAACAAGGTCACCGGTTCCATTCCTGGCCCGAGCTGAGCTGCCACTGAGCTGCCAACAGGTGGCAGAATGGCTCAGCTAAAAAAAAAAGGGGGGGTTTTAACCTACTAAATAATTGCAGGAACCTAAAATACAATGATCATAGTCTATTAGGAAGCATCACTATAATTCTAAGGCACTCAAAAAACTAAATCATCTCCTATACATATTGGTCAACAAATAAGAAGGTTTAAGAAATAAACAAAAGTACCACACATATCTATTTAATTCCCAGGTATTTATAATCAGTCAATTACACTCTACCCAGAATTTTTAAGAGTATTACTTTCCACTGGCCTCCAGCTGGAAGGCATGGGCCAGGGTTGGGTGTGGAAAACACAAAAAGTATTACTTTTTCAGTCTCTTATCTGGCTGTTAGACCCAACCTATGACTAGTTCCAAGCCTGCAAGGGTCACAAAGATAAGCTTAAACTGCCCTGAAGTCAAAGGAAAAGTGCCAAAGGGACCCATCAGTATTCAAAGGGAGCAATCACTCCGTAAAGCAAATGTTTTTAAATTTTTTTAAAGACTGTATGTACTTACAAGCATTTAACATATACAACAAAAGGTCAGCAATGTTTTCAATTATAAAGAGGTACTCAGTTCACCGAACTATTATTTAATATAAATTTTATATATTAATTTTTTTAATACAAAAACAACCATCCCATATATACATCACCTCCTTTAAATTTCCACGCCAATTTACAACCCCTGTACTGTGCCATACAAGGTTAATGGCCACTAAAAACACTACTAAAAGAGTTACTTTAATAGAAGGTTTACTCTACAAAAAAACCCTTATGATTTCAATTGTCTGTTTTAAAAAATGAGTGAGAGGGGCGGCCGATTGGCTCAGTTGGTTAGAATGCAGTGCTTATAAACCAAGGTTGCTGGTTTGAGTCCCACATGGGCCAGTGAGCTGCGCCCTCCACAACTACATTGAAAACAACTACTTGACTTGGAGCTGATGGGTCCTGGAAAAACACACTGTTCCCCAATAAAAATTAAAAAAAAAAAAAAGTGAGATGTGGATAGTGCAGTTAATTCCTTTGGAGAAGAGAAAAACCCACACTAGAACCAACTTCATCTTCAAGCATCTCATCTTCATCTTCCTTGGTCTTACTCTTCTCATCCTTGAAAAGTCTTTGAAAATAAACTTTTTATTTTGGAATAATTTTGGGTTCCTGAACACAGAACAGAGTTCTCCCCTCATGTTAACCATCTAATCTAACCAAATCTTCCCATGATGCATTTGTGAAAACGATGGCACTAATTGGCACATTACTATTAAGCCTCAGACTTTATCTGGGTTTCACCAGTTTATCCACTAATGTTCTTTCTCTGCTCCAGGGTCCAATCTAGGCTCCTACACTGCATTGAGGACAATTTCTTTCTTCCTATGTCAGCCTCTCCTTCAATCTGCTAAAGCAATAACATTTTTTTTTCAACCCTTTCTTCAGGGTAGATTTATTATAAGGCTGTTTAGCGCCTGCAGCATTATTCAACATTCTCCCAATTCCTTTGCAACATTTGCAAGATGCTGTCCTTTGATTTCTGGGTGATATGCAGAACAAAACAAGGTTGAAAGTAGCCTTTCAGTGTATTGGGATTCCTGAACTTCTTTTCTTTCCCCCTCAGGATGAAATCAGACTTTTATAACAAGGTTTGTATACTTTTGCTATGTCTTCAAGCTTTCCTCTCTCCTTAGCAGACATGTTGTTCTTTACTAATCCTTTCTGAGAAAATTCTGTGAAGTTGACTGAGGCATCTGAATGTTGCTTCTTGTGTGCCTTCCTGCAGGTTTGCACAAAGAAGGCATACGACATGTCATCTTGCCTCTTAACACATGATATCCTTTGCCCACGTTTAGATATTTTATTCTCAGTGAGGCACAGACTCACCCAGTGCCCATCCAGCTTTCACTTGCAATCTTAATGGAGGTCAAAGTATTACTACACTAACATTTTGGGGCTTTTTCCACATCACTGCTTATTAGCCTCCTTCAACCAAGACCCAACTGCTCTAGCTCTCTTATTTAGAGTCATAACTTTCACTCCATTACTGATAGGATTTATTTATTTCTCCTTGTATTCCTTATCTGGTTTCTACAATAACACCTATACACATTCCTAAACACAGAGTTATTGCTGAATTTTAAAAGACACAGCTACATGGTGGCTATGTTGTGTTGTGTTATTTTTTCACTGTAGAGAAAATAACTTCCATTGTGTGCTGTCAAAAGTATAATTTCTGGGCCGGCCACGTGGCTCAGTTGGCTAAGAGTTGGCTTAAGAGTGCGAGCTCTGAGCAACAGGGCCGCCGGTTCGATTTCCACATGGGCCAGTGACACTGCGCCCGAGATGAGCTGTCGCTGATCTGCCAACAGGTGGCAGGATGGCTCAGCTGGTGTAACAACAAGGTTGCCTGTTCCATGGTGGCTATGCCCACCCGCAGCTAAGACTGAGCTGCCACCCGGATGGCTCAATGGATACAGCGTGCGCTCTTAACAACAAAACTGCTGGTTCGGCTCCTGCATGGGATGGTGGCTATGCCCACCCGCAACTAAGATTGAACACAGCACCTTGAGCTTGGAGGCCACGAGCTGCGGATGGGAAGCCAGATGGCGACTGGCACCCTCCACAAAGAAGACTAAAGAACAACTTGGCTGGTCCTTCTCCCCAATTCCCCAACACTGTTCCCCTCCCTCAATTCCCCAATAAAATCTTTTAAAAAAAAAGTGTAATTTCTAATGACAGCAAAATATTCTACAGGGCACACATATCATAATTTGTTTGACTATTATTGACATTTGAGCTGGCTATAATGGTTTACACTGAAAATGTGAAAAATTCATATGCACTGAGAAGTTCTGAGCTTTAACTTTTTTCTTGGTTGAATTATTTTTTAAAAATAAATTTTCATAAGTACAATTACTAGATCAAAGGGCACAGCTAAGGGTTTCTACAAGCCATCAATGACATCTGTTAAATACAACGGGAATTCACTTTTTGTGATAGCTGAAGACGCTGAAATCAGTCTAACACATTTTCTGCTTTTGGAGAGGTAAATGGAGACCCAGAGAATAATTTCCAGGCTCCATGAATTTGATGATTCCCAGACTAGAGCAGGAGTTGGAACGTAACATCAGCGTAACAAACGTAACAAAAAATACCATTTTCCAAACCACTGATCACAAAGCAACAAGAGGGGATTCTGGATTAAATGTGGGGGGGGGAGGGGAAGAGACCACTGGTCACCAAATCTGCCCTACCACCTGTGTTCACAAATAAAGTTTTATTTTAATACAATCCTGCCCTTTCCTTTACATAAAAAGCAGTGCTGAGTAGTTGCCACAGAGACTGTGTGAACTGCAAAGCTTATCCAGCCCTTTCTAGAAGAAGCTTGCCAACTGCTGCACTAGACCATGAAGCCTTAAGGATGAGCCCCGGGAATCCTCTCAACTTAATACAGTGCCCGACCCACAGTGGGTGCTCAAGTGATGGTCTGCTGTCTGAATTGTTGCTTTCTTTCTATGGTACCGGGAATAATGACTTGCATGACAAATTTCTTGAATGAATATTCTAATTCTTAGGTCCATGACTACAACTTAACTTCCATCATTACTACTCTGATCCAAAGCTTCAGTCAATACATAGATGATTCCCTTTCTAATGCATAATGTCCATAAAAACTGATCTTCTGCCTGCCAGCATGTTTACCCTATCCATTTTAGCAGCCCCTATTTTCAATCTATTACTCGATCTAGTATTCTTGTTTCTCTAGCAAAGTCTCCACCTAGCCCCTCAAAGTCTCTGACCACAGCCTCTCTCCTCCAGCCAACAAAACTTCTTGCTCTGCAGGGTTTCCACTAGCACAAAAGGTGCCTTTGTAAAAATTTGATAAAGAGGCACTCTAGGGAAGACAAATTACAAAAAAACGTTTACATGCCTCTTCCTTGGAACTGGCTTCATGCCAGCAGCAGTTTACAGAAGACCGAAGCCTGGCCTTCTCTGCAGAGTGTGGATGCTCTACAGCCACTGCAACTCCATTGCCTCCCATACCCAACTAGCCAGTTTCTTTCAACATCAAATACCAACCTATCTAGTCACTTCAACTAATGTTACTTGTAATGCCCTTTGGAACATTACTCTTTCACTCTTTCTTTGCATTCCCTTGGCCATTAAATATTCAGTCTGCATTACTGAATCTGTAACACTGATTTGTTGCTATTCGCTCTTCTCTCTGGTTGTTGCAAGCAACTTGACTTCCCTTATTAACCAAGTTCCTCAAGAAAGGAAAGCATGCATTTTTCCTTACATGCCCCACAGACCTTGTCACTGTGGCCTATTTTCATTCAAGTTGACTAAGTAAAATAAGTGACTCCCAACATTCCTTGGTAGTTTCCCTTATTTGATGAGCACTACTAGTTTAATACAACTGAAATCTGGATTTGAGACTTTTCTAGGACCCTCTCCTAAAGCTGGCCCACTGGATCTACAGATGTCCCTTGGAACAGTGTAGTTGCAGATGCCTTGGCAGTCAGCAAACACTGACATGATGACAAGGAGAAAATACAGAACACTTTCCCTTCAGTAGTTCCACTAAACAGCGGAGCTACCGCTCCACAAGAATCACCTGAGATCCTTCCCAAAGACACAAGTTACTGGACGCTACCCCAATTCCACTGAGTCGATCTCCCTGGGAGAGGGGCCTGGAAATTATCATTGTTAACAAGCATGCCAAGTGATACTTAGGTTAAGTCTGGGCAACAGTGCACTAGAGATCATCTCAGGAGGGCTGCTCTTATTCTTCACTGTCACATTTACACAGAGTGAACAGTAAGGGGATTACTCTCTTAACGTAACAAGGCATACTTTACCTGGTGTAAAAATAATGCTCAATATGAAAACAATGTAGATTTGTGCTCGGCATAGTATTAAATTAATATAGTATCTATTAATAGTTAATGAAATGCATAGCATATACCAGGGGTGCCCCAAAAATGTATACACATGACTTGTATTCATCTTTTGTTATTGATATATATTATTACAATTTTAATGCAATTTTTTCCTTTCTTAAAATGTGTCTACATTTCACCGCATTGTATTTCTGAAACTGATGTTGAATAATACTGTATGTCAACTATAATTATATATATACATATAGTCTCGGGACATGGAGTAGAGAGCGGGAACGGATTCAATGGAATTGTAATAGATAAGCATGATATTGGGGGTGGGAGGGCAATAGATGGGGGGAGGGGGGTTGTTACCTGGTGAGGGTGAAAAAGGGTAACTATTGCATTGTTCTGTACACCTGAAACTAACAATAAAAAAAAAATTTTTTTTTAAATGTGTCTACATTTTTGGGGCACCCTCTGTATATTGCTTTTCTCACTTCAGAGATGCAACATTTAACTAGGACAAGAGAAAGCTTTGGGAAATAGAATCCAACAAGAGAGTCCCATCTTTCAACTAACATCTGACCTTGACTCCTTTCGGGAGAGCAAGTCCTGAGGAATAATAACTGCCACTATCAGCACAAAACTAAGGCACATCTAATGACAAGTATAGTTCAACCCTACCAACATTCCGGATGCTAAAACATCTGATGTTGATGGCACTGGTGTCAAGTTTAGGAAACAGAACACTTCAGACATTTCCTGGCCAATAGTAAAAACCGACTATTTCTGAAACCACACAGACACTTACCTGTGGCACAACATCCTGTAGAAAAGTCACAACACTTTCCATGTAGGACTGCTCCCTGAAAAGGGGTGAAATGGATATTTATTATGACAGCTTAAGACAGAACATGGAAAAGCTCTTTCTACAATATAAGCCCTAATAAAGTCACTCACAATGTTTTAAAAGGGGGTGGGGGAGGGGTGGAGACCAACTCTCATCACCTGATAATTCTGCTAACCTGCTTTCTAGTTTCATTGTATGTTAATAAACCCAAAAGAGATTTTAACATTTTTAAACATTATCTCTTCTTAAAAGTCATGCTCTCTTCATTTGATATAGATAACTTCTAACTCCAATTTGAAGGGGTGATGACAGAACACTTGGCTAAGGCAGAACCTTCCTCGAGTCAGAGCAGAATGCCCTAGTTAGAGCAAGAAAAACTGTGGCTGATGACTCAGTACTTAGTGACCTCTTTAAATTGGTTGTAAACCTAGTCCCTTACCTGTAGATAGCAACATGAATGTGTATTTTGCTGCAGGTGTAGGCATTAGAAGGAGTTAAGAAGTCCTCACAGAACTTTTGGCATAGACAAGACACGGGGAAATATTAAAATGCATAAGGGCACTTAGATAACTTAAATGGGAAGTATATAAACACCATCAAGTGGAGAGAAAAACAAATTTCTTCAAAATACCAAATAGTATTCATTTTACAGAGATGTGAAAAAATTACATTTAACAAAATAATGAGTTCTCCTAAACCCTATTTTCAAAACTTACCTTACATAAAAACTACAAAAATTGATTACAGTAACACCTTGGTTTGCGAGCATAATTCGTTCCAGGAACAAACTACTCTTACTGCAAGACATCACTTGTTTACCAAGTTAAAATGTAATAGAAGTGTTTGCTTGTCTTGCAGAAAACTTGCAAAGCAAGTTACTCACAATCCAAGGTTTTACTGTAGGCCTAAAAAACAAACAAACAAAAAACAAAAACAAAAAAAAACACACACAATTTGATTAGACCTACCTCTTCAACCTCATTTTTCTGCCACTCTCCTAACTAACTCTGCTTCAGTGATCTGCAACTTCAGTTCCTAGCTTCCAGCAAGCTCTTCTTTGAAGCAAGATTTTTACACCAGCTTTCTTTTTTTTTTTTTTTTTTTTTTTTTTTTTTTTTTTTTTTAAAGCAAGAAAGGAGAGCATACTTTTTTTTTTTTTAAAGATTTTTTTTTTTTTATTGGGGAATTGGGGGGATGGGAACAGTGCTGGGGAATTGGGGGAAGGGGAGCAGACAAGTTGCTGTCGTTTTGTTCTTCAATCTAGTTGTGGAGGATGTTGCTTCACTGGCCCAAGTTGGCACCATCATTGCGCTCTTCTCTGGCGAGGCAGATCAGTCGCCGGCTTCTGGACGGCCGCTCACTGCGGCTGCTGGCCGCTCACGCTGGCTGCTGGCTACACACGGTGGCTGCTGGCTACACACGGTAGCCCATGGCAATCCACTGCCACAGGGACTGCAGCCCACGCCGTCGCCGGCGACTCAAGGCAGCCCAGCTCCGGGTTGAGCTGTTGTTCAGCATCTTAGCTGTAGAGGGCAGTGTCACTGGCCCTCATATGTGGGATCCGAACCGGGGCCCTCTGGCATCCCAAGCGAGTTCTTAACCATCGCGCCACTCGGCCAGCCCTACACCAGCTTTCTTTTTGCCTGGATTCCTTCCCTTTCAGATCTCCAGCTTAAGTATCACCTCCTCAAAGAGGCCTTCCCTGATAGACTTAACTCCTACTCCCCAATGTTATTTTCTATCATAGTACACCTGTTCACTGGTCAGGGCTGTAATTACTTGACTTATTTACTATTTCCCCCACTAAAATGTAAACTCTATTACAGAAAGGAATCCATCTCTCATAGTTACCTTGTATCTCTAGACTCTATAAGCCAGTATGTAGGCATGAAGGAGGTGCTCAAGCATTGTTAAAAGAACACTGAACAAATTAAATATTTTGTTAAAACCACAAAAATTTGGGGGGCGACCAGTTAGTTCAGTTAGTTAGAGCATGGTGCTAACACCAAGGTTGCCGGTTCGATCCCCGCATGGGCCACTGTGAGCTGCACCCTCCTTAACAGTGAATATGCCATTGTAGCATGAAAGTAATGTGTAACCAATGACCATGGCTGCTCCCCAATAAAATTTTTTAAAAAAAAGATGAAAATTACATAGTGCATCACAAAAAGCAATAAATGTGGAATACCACAGGGTGAGGCAGCATAGAATACCGCATAAATGCACAGACTCTGCAGGCAAACTGCCTAGGTTTGATTCAGGTCCTCTTCCTGGCTGTCACCATGAACAATTTACTTAATTTCTCTCTGCTTTCCTTTCCTCACCTGTGAAATGAAGGCTGAAATAGTACCTAACTCATAGCTAATAACATGCTTAACTTATTGCCATGGTCCATAGTTAGCAAAGACATATAGCCTTGGGAAATGGAGGAAAAAATGGAAGTATGATGGTGAAATATATTACACATATACCTATGTTAATCTGAGAAGGCAATCTTTATGTAACATGCTAAACTGCCCAAGGGAAATAATCCAAAATGCTACAATTCCCTTATGAACATTTTAAAAAGATGAAAATAAGTTTCACCTCCTTAGCCAGGTATTAAAGGGTCTTAATTGTCCACCCCAGCCTACTTCGAATAGGTCAATTTCCCTATACTTCATTTATGAAAATAGCTTATCTTTCCCACATCTGCTCACTCTATTCCCTTTGCAAAACATGAACCTTTGATTCTAAGTGCCCAAACACTACCCAGCCTTTCAAGTACACAATACATGTTAGTTTCTTCATGAAACCTTTTTGGATCTAAGATACTTCCATTAAAATACTCCCTCTAAATTCTCATGCTATTTTGTTGGCATCTTTTTTGATTATAGTGATTTCAAGCATACATATCTTAAAACCACATTAGATTATATGCTCCTAGAAAGTATAGATATACTTTGTCAAAAAATGCTTAACAGGGGCCAGCCGAGTGGCTCAGTTGGTTAAGAGTTGGCTTAAGAGCGCGAGCTCTGAGCAACAGGGCCGCCGGTTTGATTCCCACATGGGCCAGTGACGCTGCGCCTGAGATGAGCTGTCGCTGAGCTGCCAACAGGTGGCAGGATGGCTCAGCTGGTGTAACAACAAGATTGCCTGTTCCATGGTGGGCTATGCCCACCCGCAACTAAGACTGAACTCGGCACCTTGAGCTGAGCTGCCACCTGGATGGCTCAGTGGATAGAGTGTGCGCTCTTAACAACAAGGCTGCTGGTTCGACTCCTGCATGGGATGATGGCTACGCCCACCCAAAACTAAAATTGAACACAGCACCTTGAGCTTAGTTAGAGGCCACGAGCTGTCGACAGGAAGCCAGGTGGCGACTGGCGTCCTCTGCAACGAAGACTGAAGAACAACTTGGCTGGTCCCCTTCCCCAATTCCCCAACAGTGTTCCCCTCCCTCAATTCCCCAATAAAATCTTTTTTTAAAAAAATGCTTAACATATAGAAAAGTACTCTTTATAACACTAACTTAGAAACTTTTTGACTGAGACCTAGAGTAAGAGATATATTTTACACCATGCTCTAGTAAACATATACATACACATGATGCATCTATATGTGTAGAACAAAACAACACTAACTCCCAACTATATTTTCTATTACATTCCATTTCGGGTTGTTGGGTTTTTTTAATGATCCTAATTCACTAACTTGATTTACTAACCTACTCACTGTTAAACTTGGACTATGAAAAAACATTACTTTTTAGGATTTAGCATAGTGCTTTTCAAGTACTCTGCAAATGTACTGAATCCATCAATTTGACCCTCCAATTATTCCTTTTATTTGGCCTTGGCAATGATATTTATCATCCTGTAAAGCCAAAATTAAGTAGATTTTACAAAAGTAAGCACTGTTCAGAAAGGAAACCTAAAAGTTAGTTACTATTCTGAGTACTCTTTTCTTCAGCTATTAGGCTTATCTGAAATTTGCTTACGTGACAGCCTGGGGGCGAACCACAACTCCACCAGTACAACGACTGGGTCTTCTGGGGGAATCTGTAGCCATAGCTTCATTCACAAAACCTGTTTCCAGAACAAAAAAAAACAAAAAAAGAAAAAACACAGAAAATATCAATTATTATAGTTGGTGGTAGAGGGAAAGGTTTATAGGTTACTCACTAGAGTCCTTGTCAAAAATGCCTAAAATGTAGGAAACTTTCTCAGCAATTCCTATTATACCAGAAAGGGGCAAGGGCAGGAGAGCAGTAAATAGATTCAAATTTTTTCAAATTATCAAGATTATTTTAACTTGGACCAAGCCTCAGAGCCACAAAATTAGTTAGGACTCTTGCTGGACCCTTTGATCTACTGTTAACATAAACTAGAAAGGTAAGAGAAGCATGGATGGGAAGTCTAGCACAGAATCACTTTATAAAAACAAATGTGCTACCTTTGTGAACCAAAATTTAAAAATGTACTGAAATCTTATGTTGACATACTGAAAATATACATGGTACAGTATTTCAAGACCAAATGGAACAGCAGGGTTAATACCTTCCAACTAAGACTGTTGTCAATCTGTGAATAAGAAAGCTTATTGTAACTATGTGTCAACTATATGTATTGTAACTTATTGTTAACTAGACTTGTGATCATTTTGCAATATTGAATCATTATGTTGCACAGCTAAAACTAATATGTCAATTATATCTAAAAAACAAAGACTGCCTGGTTACTATTTAGCAAGATTTTTTAAATCATATTGTTAACCCCCTGTTATTGTAACATAATCACCAGAGCCTAAATAAGTAATCAAAAACTTATGACATTAAAGGCCTCTTATCCTTTCCTGTACTGTCACATCACTGAATCGTGATCCCTGAATGTCTAATAGGTATCTGAATTACTCGGGAGGTTTTAAGAGCGCGGAGTGTACTTGGTTAAGGTTTAAAGGGCGATTGACAGCAATATTAATTCTCTTACAGGGCGCTCAGGAAAGCCCACAGCCTGGAACTAATATTGAAAGCCCCTAAAACCTTCACTTCTAACTAGGGAGTATTCCATCACCTTATTTTGATAACTTTCAAACTTATAAGTACCACCTGGTACAACCAAAATACCCTTTGCCCCAATCAGCCCACGTACCCCTTCCTCAATGGGTATCCTCATCTCCACCCCCTCAGCCCTTGCATTTCCCTTCCACCCTTTATTTCCAAAACACAGCCGCGCAAGGACTGTCCTATAAGGGCCCTGTCTCATGAGGACGACCCTCGCCAGTCCCCAAGGCCCCACTCTCCTGAAAGACACTAGCACAGCGCTACCCACTTAACCTCCAACACCGAGCCACCGCTGCCCCCGGCCGCCCTCTGGCTCCTTGCCCTTCCTCCCCTCCCCCTCCAATCTCGACAGCTCTCCCTCGACGAATTCCTGCCAGGCAAGCCCTCTTCCCTCAGGCTGCTTGCCCCTCGTCTTTTCCAAACCTCCCAAAGCCACAGCCCCGCCAGCTCTCTCACCGGCCGCCCCGCCGGTAAACGCTGTTCTCCAGCTCAGGGCTCACTGTTTGGAAGTCTCCCCTCGTGATTGACGGCTACCACTTCCTACCACGCCTCAGCGGAACTACCTTTCTAGCCAATCCCAGAAGCAAACTGGCTACGGCCGAGTACCGCCCTTAGCGATCAGTTTCTCCAACCAGCACTAGCAAAGAGGCGGACCCGCCTCCTGAAATTATCCAATCCGCTGGGGCGCGAGGAAAACAAAACACTATGTAAATTCGGGTAAAGCCAAGGTGTCAGGTTCGGTTGCGAACGCAGGCAGGTGGGGAAGAGTTACGAACATATCTATGTTCTTTTGCAGACAGCATCTTTGGCTTTGCCAAAAACCATCATGCCCCAAACTCCTGTGCACCTCACCTGAGCGTCTCAGGCTAGGAATTGGAGGACCGGGGGACTGGTCTGTTTACATCGAATCTCGCGACAGCTGATTCGAAGCTCAAAGCACGTGGACATGGCAGCTGCCAGTCACTTTTAGCTGGCCACTCATCCACCCCAAACCCGCCTTCTGCCCCGCCCTTTTAGCTGTGTTTACCTTCCGGGAGCCTAGGCTGGTTTGGGCTGGTGGGCAGCCCTGCAGCCAAGGAGGTGTAGATTTGAATGAGCGGCGCGGCTGGTAATCTTGTCAATTTGACCTAAATTTGTGGGCCACGCCTGACTCCTTCCTTCCCTGTTTCCCGTAAGGAGGAGATCAAGATATCGCCGGTATTGTTTCGTCAATTACATTTCTTTTCTAATAATAACATTTATTGATTTATTGAACAAACGCTCAGTCAGTACAATGTGAAATTCTGTGAAATTCACTTCACAGAAGAGAGTGAATTTTGACCAGTGGCCAGATGGACTATGATCTTGAAATAGAATTATAAGGAGTTTCAGTTTTATTCTAGGGTGGGAATCTATTGGAGGACTTTCAGCTAAGAAGTGTGATCAGATTTACATTTCTAAAAGATTATTCTATCTACTAACCAGAAAATAAACTGCTGTCTGGGAGGGAACAAGAGTGGAAGCGATGGGCCAAGTAGAGAGGCTATTTCGGTAGACTAGGGGGAAGATACAGTCTAAAACTGAGCCTAGAAGTGAAGCAAGAGAGTTGGAAAGTTGTCAGTTTTAGAGTATTTTGGAAGAGAAAATTGAAAGAACTTGATAATGCATTGGATGTGGGATGGAAGGAAAAGGGAGAATCAAGGATGATGCGATGCTTGTGTTTTGGGCTGCGTGATGACATTTACAGATAGGATTGACATTTACAGGTGAACACAAATAGGATTTACACATTTTTAGTGGAAGTGAATTTCTGTGCCTTGGTTTCCTCCTTTGTAAATTGTAGATAGAATATTATGAGCCTCATAGGATTTTTAAAAGAGTAAATAAATTAAAATTTATGAGAACCAGTTAGAAATGTCTCCAAATCAAGTAGTTGTAATTGCTGATTAACCAACTAGTTCTAATTACTCCATGTTTTCTTGAGAGATAGTGTGAAACTCTCACCAGCCTTCAAAGAGAAAATTTGGAGTAATCATTTTTCTTAATGGAAGTAACTTGTGAGTGCTTATGTACATATTGCCGGCTCATGAGTCATTTCAAAGGAGCTGGGGAAACTTTTCAACAATCTGTTCTTGTGACTGAGCGATCCCAGCCTGCAAACTCATTTTCAGTGTAAAAGAGTGACTTCAAACCAGAGATCTGTGTTACTCCAGTTACTACAATGTCCATTATAATAAATCTCTAATGACTAAAATTGCCTCTCTATAGATCCTATAGATCTCTATAGGTCCTATAGATCAAAAACAAGATTCCCCAAGGAATTGTCAGGGAACTATCCATAGGGAAATCAAGTTTTAATGTCAGTTTATATTTTATTATGTGTGTTTGTTTTGTTAGTGTTAGGATTCTTTTTTTGGCCTCAAGCAAACCATTGCCCCACCCTGGCCACCAAAAACACTTAGATAATAATCACATGATTTAAGAAGTAGTGAAATAATCTGATTTCACATAGAACTACGGTGAACATTAATATTTTAATTTTCAGTCAAGTAAAAGGAAAATCAAAGAGGTTTTTAAAAAGTGATCATATATAATTTATCATCCCAACCAGGAAATTTTGAAATGAGGCTCTATTAATAATTACATCAACGGGGGGGGGGGGGGGGGGGAAAGCTAAAGTAGGACTGTCCTAGGCAAACCACAAAGTGTGGTTGCTCTTTATCTCTGACACATTAGTACTACTTTGTAGCTGTTCTGTAGTTCATTAATGTATAATTCTATTGTATATTTAGCTAAAATGTAAGCTCTTTAACAGAAGGGATTATTTCATTTATATTCTCCATGATGCTGTATTCATTAACAGGAAAAATTACATGTCAGAACCCCAACAATTTACCCTGAAATCCGGAGCTAGTATTTATAATTAAAGATACCAGAAAGTAAAACTATTGACAAAGACCAAACAGTTTCATCAACTGTTTTAATGATGCCCAGGGCATAATTAAACTTCCCCATAAATTACCCTCCCCATTTAACCCTGCATTTAAAAAACTGTTTTAGGGGCTGGCCGAGTGAATCAGTTGGTTAAGAGCTCGCTCAAGAGTGCAAGCTTGAGCTGGCAGAGTGGCGCGTTGGTTGAGAGCTTGGGACACCAGAGGGCCCGGTTCGGATCCCATAGTATGAGGGCAAGTGACACTGCCCTCTACAGCTAAGATGCTGAACAACAGCTCAACCTGGAGCTAGGCTGCCGTGAGTCGCCGGTGACGGCTTGGGCTGCAGCCCCTGCTGTAGCGGGTTGCCATGGGCTACCGTGTGTGGCCAGCAGCCAGCGTGAGCAGGCAGCAGCCTCTGTGAGCTGCCATCCAGAAGCTGGCGACTGATCTGCCTCACCCGGGAAGAGCGCAATGATGGTGCCAACTTGGGCCAGTGAGGCGATGTCCTCCACAACTAGACTGAAGAACGAAAGGACAGCAACTTGTCTGTTCCCCCTCCTCCAATTCCCCAGCACTGTTCCCATCCCCCAATTCCCCAATAAAAATCTTTAAAAAAAAAAAAAAGTGCAAGCTCTTGAGCAACTAGCGGTTCGATTCCCGGCCCAGCCTGAGCTGAACTGCTGCTGAGCTGCCAAGAGGTGGCAGGATGGCTCAGCTAAAAAAAAAAAAAAAAAAAAAATTCTGGAAAAAAAGTGAATCTCTGGGAAGTTTTTAGAAGCTAAAAGTTTAATAAAAATATTATGTGACATTTATTAAGCTCTATATGCCAGTCATTGTAGTATTATTATCTATATTTTATAGATGAGAACCAAGACACAAAGATGTTAAGCCATTTAGCCCAAATATAAGCACAGTGGTGGAAATTCATGGTTCCAGGTTTCTGCCCAGAGAACTGAAAAGGGGAGCCTCAAGGAAGGGCAAAGTACAACGGAGACTATAGAGAGTGAAAAGCTCAGGAAAGTGACCCCGAAGAATCTTAATCAGCATATAAAAGACCTTGAGCACTTACCTGGCAGATAGTTCACTGCCCAGGTCCCCGACTAGGCACTGGGTGATGCACACAAGGGATAGCTCAAACTGCACCCTGGCAGAGGCTTTGGAAAATGAACCAACATTGGAACCACAGCCCACAAAGGTGGGTGGAACATGCAGCATGATTTAATCAGATTGACTGCCTATTAAAATAAAATTTTCAATGTTTTCCATAAGAGCTAATTAAAACCCAGAGTGTCATAACATAATATTCAAATGTCTAGGATATAATCCAAAATTACATGGTACACAAAGAACCAGGAAAATCTCAATTCACATGGAAAAAAACAATCAACAGATGCCAACACCTAAATGACACAGATTATCTGACAAACACTTTAAAGCCATATTATAAAAATACTCCTGCAAACAATTGTGAACATTCTTGACATGAATGTAAAAATATTATAGAAAATATCAACAAAGAGAAGATATAAAGAAAAACCAATGGAAATTTTAGAACTCAAAAATGTAACAACAAAAGTGCTAACAAAGGGCCAGCCGAGTGGCTCAGTTGGTTAAGAGCTCACTTGGGAGCACCAGCTCTGAGCAGTAGAGCCACGGTTCGGATCCCACATTAAGGGCCAGTGACACTGCGCCCTCTACAGCTAAGATGCTGAACAACAGCTCGACCTGGAGCTGGGCTGCTGAGTCGCCGGCGACGGCGTAGGCTGCAGCGGGGCTGCAGTGGGCTGCCATGAGCTACATGAGTGGCTGGCAGCCAGCATGAGCGGCTGGCAGCCGGCAAGAGCTGCTGTGAGCCACAGTAAGTGGCCAACCAATGACCAGCAACCGATTGCCTCACCCGGGAAGAGCATAATGATCATACCAACATGGGCCAGTGAAGCAATGTCCTCCACAACTAAACTGAAGAACAAAACAGCAATTTGTCTACCTGTCTGTTCCCCTTCCGCAATTCCCCAACACTGTTCCCCTCCCCCAACTCCCCAATAAAATCTTTAAAAAAAAAAAAGTGCTAACAACAACAAAAAAAACTTTTTTAAAAGAAGAAAATGTGATGCTGAAAAAATACTTTAAGAAATAATGGCTGAAAACCTAAGTTTGGTGAAAGACATAAGCCCACAGAATCAAGATGCGCAGCAAACCCCAAGCAGGAAACCCTCAAAGAAATCTCTACGTAGACATCATAAGCATACTGCTGAAAACTAAAGACAAGACAAAATCTTGACAGTATCCAGAGAAAAACTGCATTACCTATTGGAATGACTGCAGATTTTTCATTAGAACCATGGAGGCCATTGAAAGTGACATCTTTTTTAAAGGGCTGAAAGAAAACAACACCAGAAGAAAACTTAGAATATCAGGAATGAAGAAAGCGCAATAGCAATGGTAAATATCTGGATGAATATCATAGACTGTTCTCCCCTTGAGTTCTTTAAATGTTGGACTTTTGATATAAAAAATTATAACATTGCCTGAAGGGGTTTTCAAAGTATATAGATGTAATATATAGATGTAATATATAAGACAACTACAACATAAATAAGACAGATAAGTTTTCTTTCTTTCTTTTTTTTTAAAGATTTTATTGGGGAATCGGGGAAGGGGAACAGACAAGTTGCTGTCCTTTTGTTCTTCATCTAGTTATGGAGGTCTTCGCTGCATTGGCCCATGTAGGTATTATTGTACACTTCCCGGCTTAGGCAGATCAGTCGCCAGTCATTGGACGGCCGCTCATGGCGGCTCATGGCAGCTCACGAAAGTGCACACCAGCTGTAGGCCAGCCCCACTGCAGCCTACACCGTTGCTGGCGATTCATGGCAGCCCAGCTCCAGGTTGAGCTATTGTTCACCATCTTAGCTGTAGAGGGCGCAGCATCATTGGCCCGCATGTGGGATCCGAACTGAGGCCCTGCTGCTCAGAGCTGGCATCCCAAGCCAACTCCTAACCAACGTGCCACTCAGCCGACCCAATATGTGGGTTTTTTTGTTGTCTTTTTCAGGTGAGCCATCCTGCCCCCTGTTGGCAGCTCTTGGCAGCTCAGCTCGGGCCGGGAATCGAACCAGCGACACTGTTGCTCAGAGCTCACACTCTTGAGTGAGCTCTTAACCAATTGAGCCACTTGGCCAGCCCAGTAAGTTTTCTGTGTTCTACTTGAAGTAGTTATATCTTGATCTTGAGTAGACTACAGAAGCTTCTATATTGTAATCCCTAAAGCAAGCATTCAGACTGCCAAAATATTTTGCCTCAAAGATTAAAATTTAAATTTTTTTTTCTTAAAGATTTTATTGGGGAATTTGGGGAGGAGAACAGCATTGGGGAATTGGGGAAGGGGAACAGACAAGTTGCTGTCCTTTTTGTTCTTCTGTCTAGTTGTGGAGGGCATCGCTTCACTGGCCCATGTTGGTATTGTGATCATTGCGTTCTTCCCAAGTGAGGCACATCAGTCGCCGGTCACTGGACGGCCGCTCACGGCAGCTCTTGGCAGCTCATGCCAGCTGCCGGCCGCTCACACTGGCTGCCACCCACACATGGTAGCTTATGGCAGCCCACTACAGCGTGGGCTGCAGCCTACGCCATCGCTGGCGACTCATGGCAGCCCAGCTCCAGGTCGAGCTGTTGTTCACCATCTTAGCTGTAGAGGGCAGTGTCACTGGCCTCCATGTGGGATCCGAAATGGGGCCCTGCTGCTCAGAGCCCAAAAACTCGGCCGGCCTGAAAAATACACTTTAAATGCTTCACTCCGTTAGAGCAATCTTCAATATTCTATTCTTTTCTTTTCGTTTTTTTTAGCTGAGCCATCCTGCTACCTATTGGCAGCTCAGCAGCTGCTCAGCTCGGGCCAGGACTCGAACCACTGTTGCTCAGAGCTCAAACTGTTGAGCTAGCTCTTAACCAACCAAGCCACTCAGCCGGCCCAATCTTCAATATTCTAGAAGATAATGAAATAACATTTATTTTTTATTTTTTAAAAAATTTATTGGGGAAAAGCCATGTTTATTGGTTACACATTGCTTTCAGGCTATAATGGCATAGTTGACTCTTTGAGGGAGAGCGCACCTCACAGTGGCCCATGCAGGGATCGAACCGGCAACCTTGGTGTTATCAGCAGTCACTCCAACACTGTTTATTAATGTTGTTACCAAAACAAACCTAGTGTACAGCTTAGGAAAACAATGCTAAAAAGCCTATATTCTCTCCAGATTGTGGACTGCCTCCAAGATGGCCCATCATGATGTCTACCTCCTAGTATTCCTGCCGTGTAGTTGCCTCCTGTGTTGTTTACCAGATTTGGCACCCCCATAGTAGAGGCCTCTCCATGTTTCTGGCCTCACATTTTTCCTTGACCTACCTACGTATAGCTTAACAATAGATCATCCTGCTGGGGCTTGAGCTTGGAATGTTCCCTGTCCCACCCAGTTCCTTGTTTTAGAAAATTACCCTGTAACTTATGACTAATACCCTGAGGCTTATTGATCACATCTCAGTGGCCTACTAGGCTAATCCCATCATTGTTCCTGGGTTGCTGGTTCCACCATAGAATCAAGTGGCCACAGGTATGGCTCCATGCAGACCTCTGGAGGAACGCCCAGATTTTCCCTTAAAAACCCCCAGCTGGTCTGAGAATGGTAAGGCAGTTTTTGGAGATGTTAACCCGCTGCCTTCTCAGACCACTGGTGCTCTGATAATAACTGCTTATTCTATGACCCAACTCCTATGTTGATCTATTGGCTGAGAGGTCTCCTGTTTCCTGACTACTAAAATGCAGCGGAATTGATGATATGGTACTTTTGAGGTTAGGTTACAAAAGACATTGGGGCTTCTGCCTTGTTCTTTCTGGTATCATTTGCTCTGGGGGAGAAAGTTCACCAACGTGTTGTGAGAAGTCCTATGGAGGGGCACATGTGACAAGAAACAAGTGGTGGTTGTGGGAAGCAGATACTCCAGCCCTCGTGAATCCTACAGATGACTTGAAGCCCTGACTGCTATCTGGGCTGCAACCCCATAAGACTATAAGCTAGCTAAGTCACTCCCAGGTTCCCGACACTCAGAAACTGTGGAGATGTTTGTTGTTTTAAACTGCTCAATTTTGAGGTATTATTAGGCAGTAATACATATTTTAATCTTTGAGGCATAAATAGATCAAGAATGATGTTCTACAAAATATTGAAAAGAATGTATGTAGATGTGATATTTGTGATCTAAGAAATACATATTTTGGTCTTTGTCCCAGGCTTCTGGGCAGAGCTCCTAAAACCTTTGAAATTTCCTACGCCATTAAGGGTGCTACTGGCATCTTTTGTCTTTGTCACGCATCCCTGCTGCTGACAGAACTCCTATATCCCTTAGAATTTTCTAATAGGAGTGCCTTTTGTTCTTACGAGACAAATCTTGGTGGGCTCTTGGATATCTTTGGGATGGGGGCTCATCAACAGAAAAAACAAGCCATGACTGGAAGTTGAACTTTCAGCCTCACCACCCACCATCCTCCTTGGAGAAGAGGCTGGAAATTGAGTTAATTATGGCAACATGATGAAGCCTCCATAAAAATCCATGAAATATGGGGTTTGGGGAGCTTTTAGGCTAGTGAACATTCACAGGTCAGATGGGTGGTGCACCCCAAACCTATGGGGGACAGAAGTTCCTGCGTTTGGGACTCTTCTGAACCTCGCTCCATATATCTCTTCATGTAGCTGTTCATCTTTTATTATTTAATAAACCTATTTCCGAGTTCTGTGAGCTATTCTAGCAAATTATCAAACCTGTGGAGGGGGTTGTGGGAATCCTGATTTATAACCAGTTGGTCAGAAGTATATGTGAAAATGTGTGACTTGCAATTGGTGCCTGAAGTGGGGGAACTCTTGTGAGACCCAGCCCTTCATTTGTGGGATCTGATAGTAACTCCAGGTAGATAGTGTCAGAACTGAATCGTAGGACTTCCAGTTGGTGTGTACAGAAAACTGGAGAAGAGCTTGGTGTGGGAAAATCCACACATCTGGTGTCATAAGTATTGTGTGAATAAAGGAAGAAATAGTGTTTTCCTTTTAGTGGACATAATTAAGTAATGGCAAACTTAAATAACTTATATCCACACTCTAGAAAACTAAAGAATGACAAGGCTCTGTGATGTACTGATATGGAAAAATCAAGATATATGATTAAGAGATAAACACATGTACTCCTATAGTTGCAAACAAAAAGGTTATCACTGAAAGAACACACAAAAAAGGGGGAAATGTTGGCTGCCTTGGGGACTGAGGTGGGTTTTTTTTTCATTCTGTACCATTTTATATATCATGAATTTTCCATTAGGCATTATACTACTGATCTGTTACATAAGCAAATAAAACTTAATAAAAATAGAAACATTAAAACATTTGTGCTTGCATAACATCAACTCCTTAAAGAATGGGCCTAAACACAGCCCTAGGAACACATACAGAAAAATGCTAATTTTAGCATTTGTAGCTATGTGTCTTAAAACCAAAAATGTTTCCAGTATTAGATAGGTACTAATATAGTATGTAAATGGACTCCAATGCACCAAAACTGTGATCTAGGAAACAATGTTGTAGCATTTTTACATTAAAAAACTGATTGAAAAATAAAATCACTTAATCCATTACTCTAATCAAATGGAAACTTTAATTGCACGTAGATAATAGTTTTCTTTTTTTTTTTTTAAAGATTTTATTGGGGAATAGGGGAAGGGACCAGCCAAGTCGTTGTTCTTCAGTCTTCATTGTGGAGGGCACCAGTCGCCATCTGGCTTCCCGTAAGCAACTCGTGGCCTCTAAGCTCAAGGTACTGTGTTCAATCTTAGTTGCTGATGGGCATAGCCACCATCCCAGGCAGGGGTCGAACCAGCAGCCTTGTTGTTAAGAGCGCACACTCTATCCACTGAGCCATCCGGGCAGCAGCTCAGTTCAAGGTGCTGAGTTCAGTTTTAGCTGTGGGTGGGCATAGCCCACAATCAAACAGGCAATCTTGTACACCAGCTGAGCCATCCTGCCACCTGTTGGCAGCTCAGCTCAGACACAGCATCACTGGCCCATGTTGGAATCGAACCGGCGGCCCTGTTGCTCAGAGCTAGCACTCTTAAGCCAACTCTTAATCAACTGAGCCACTCAGCCGACCCAGGATTATTTTCTTTACAACCATTGGCAGAAAAAGTGACAAATAGCTAAATGGATTTTCCTTTCTTTAATATACATTCAGATTTGCTGAATTTCTAGTAGGTGCTGCTAACATGGTATCACAAGTCTGAAAGATGGACAAACTCTTTACAATAAATTGACTGCAAAAGTGTTTGCAAGTTGCTATGTCTCTACCTTGGAAAGGTCTGAAAAAAAATCTCTTCAGTATCCAAAAATCCTTTTTAAAAACTAACCATAATTAACGTTTACCCAGATCACTAGTTCTCTCTTAATCCTCTTATGGAAAACTGAATGTTTCCAAATGTGCAGTACCTAGCATATTGTAAGTACACAATCAATGTAGAATGCATGAATTAACTCTTCAATTTCTCAATGAGCAGTCTTGTTCTAAGTTAATAAATTTTAAAAATTTCTCATTGTAGAACAATTCACTACACCAAAATGACATACGCTTAGCGTTTTACTATTAGTTTTTTATAGTATTTTTCTATATTACCAAAGTACAATTTTATTCATTTTTAATTGCTCGTACATAATAGTTCATCAAATGCTGATTAGTCTTAACTGACTTAACCATATTCTTACTGTTAGATATTTATCCTGTTTCGATTATTCTAAATTATATTACAGTCAAGAGTGCAAGAGTGCAAAAACGAACATTACATGTATTTTAAGTTGTTAATCTAAAAGCATGATCATGGCACAACAGAAAATTAATATATATCATTAAAACCAACAACAAAATTCCAGCAATATCATGAACAGTTCACTGATTTATTAGATGAACAAACATCTATCCATATAACCAATGAAAACTGTACGATATATAAAATAATTTAAGAAATGTTGGAAATTTAGCAGCACCATTTGTTATTGAATAGCAAGGAAAACACCACATATTTTATGCAAACACTAGAAGAGGATAGCTACTTTAAGACCTAATAATGCCACTGAATGTGCAGGATGGTTGAGAAAAGCATCTTTTTAGGTAAACACATCTCTTTTTACTCCAAAGATCTGGTGAGCATATCTGATGATTAATGTTTTAGAAAAATGCTATTAAAATAAGATACTGCATAGTATTTTAATTAGGACAAAGAGACTAATACCCAGCTACTTGAGTATGGTTCAACACTTCTGCTTCTATGAAAAATTTAGTTCTGAATTATGAAATTAGAAATAAAAAATAAATTTTAAAAGACACTAGTTGTCTCTAAGAAACATTAAGTGGAACACAGGTCACTATGAAAATACATCACTTTTCCAGTTTGCTTAATAATTTACTTTAAAAAGTGTAGTTTTCATCACAAGTGACTTATACAAATTTCTTAATAAGCATTTTTAAAAGTTTAAATGTATTTCTAAAATCTAATAAGTTTTCTGATTTTTTGTTTAACCCTTAGCCCTGTTGTTACACTTACTGTGTAACAGAGTAAGAGATTGAGTTTGTGTGAAAGATACAAATTTACACACATTTTACAGCAACTTATACTCTAACATCTACAAAATTCACATTTATAATACAAGCAAGTACAAGGTCAGGGTAAAATCGCTGAATTCCAAAAAGTCAAACTGTATGCTATTTTTAATTTTGTCCCTTTAAAAAATTTCAACTTCAGCACCAACTTCAAAAAGCCCTCTTATATCTTATTTGGAAAAAATATATATTTTCCAGATACAGTTCAGCAAACACAAACAGTTTTTCTGTGCTGGTGAAGTAAAGGGTTTCCAATTTTCTTCTGGCCCCGAAGTCTGCGTCGCATGGTAAGTTTTACAGAGTTCTTTCGCTGCGAGGTTGTGGGGAGGCTTGCAGGCTGAGCACTACTACTTCGACTTAAACCATTTCGTTTATGCCTCTTCACAAGAGGGCCAGAGTTGGATTCTTCTAATGTCCTTTTAAAGTTTGCTGGAGGGGTTCTTTCAACTTCTTGGGCTTTCATCTGACCTGGAGTTGACATCTTTAAATTTTTTTGGTCCATGATGGTGTTTGTTGAGTTAGTAGGCACAAGGCCAACTGACAGGCTATTATTCAAACAATCATGTATCCTTAAAGTCAGGGCTTTAGTGCAATTTTCTTCAAGTGGTTCTGGATCTTTTGAGGGTATGACTGAAGCCTGAACATTCCCTCGAGCTATCTCAGCTGGGACTTCTAAAAAATTCTCTGAGAAGGCATTACTACGAACAAGGGCGGGTATATGGTCCTTAGAGTTCAGCCTCGGCCACGGGTCCTCCTCCAGTGACTGAAAAACAAAAAGGTAAACCAAATAAGAAATAATTTGCCCCAGAATTCACCTTAACTGCTGGGGAGATGGAGTTTCATTAGGCTAAATGACAAATTTGAAGGTTTTTTTGGCTTATTTCCTACTTTCTATAGTCTAATTTCTGAATATTACTAGTATGGAAGATGTGAAGTGCAACATTAAAGCAACTATGTCATAAGGAAACTCAGATTGTTGCTTTGCACCCATCTCCCCAACACTAGACACTGTTTTGTGATTTGAGAAAAGCAGGACATATGGGAACCTACTGAACACGGCTGGAACAACTCAAAGAACTAAATGAAAATCATATGGAAACTTTGAAGTATTGTTTTTTAAAAGCTTCACAGGTGTTTCAGATATGCACCACTCCTCAGCTGTAATGCTCTAGAGCTGCATATGCTCAGAAGATCCTCCTATCTCCAGACAGGTAAGAACGTTCTTAGCAAACCCCATCTTCCACTATAATAATACTTTATAAAATCACTGTCTCAATAGTTTCTCAAGGACAGAGTTTAAGCATAAATACTATCTCTCTCCAAGGATATAACATTTCCCTCGAACATGTCCTCTCTTAATCAAATGAAAATTATTAAAATATTAATATATTCTCAAAAGAACAAGTAAACCCTTTTGTAGAATGGTGAGGACATATTATCTGGTCTTCCTCTGATATAAAATTCCCTCGGAATAAACACCTTTCCAAAAAGTGCTATGTGAGAGCATATTTATAAGAGTGTTTCCTTTAATGTTTCGAGAATTAAAAAGAAAAGAGAAACTGAAGTCATCTAATAGCATTTCAATCTAACCATTAAACATGAACTTGCTTTACTGAAAAAAATATAGTGACTTTAGGTTCAATGGAGATTGGAGACAAGAAACTCTAGTTCCTAATTAGGTACTGCCCAAATAGATTACTATTTTTTTACTAAAAATGTACTCTTTCTTTTTGGGGTCATTGGTTTTTTTATTTTACACTGCATAGTTTATTGAAATCCCAATTCTTTGGATCTGTCTTAACATTGACTAGATGGTGGGCAGCAGCCTTATTTCAAAGTAGCAGTGTTGAGAAAGAATAACATGGCAGTCTCTGTTCTAGAGTATTTACATATGGCTTTCAATAATATCAACACCAAGAGTTGTATGTGAGTTTAGCCCTCTGCATTAGGTTGATTAGAATGCCTACCCTGGTCACAAGCATGTTTTGGCTGATCACAGAAAATTATATCTAGTCATACGTAATTGTTGACCTGCTTAAAAAGTTCACTCTGCTTAAATATAGAAAAAGAATTTGCAACAAGACCAGGGAGCAGATAAGTTCTATAGACAGAAGGCTTCCTAATACCAAATAATCATGCCACTAATTTAGTGACAAGAAAAACAGTACTAATCAAGCCATTTATAGGAACAGAATATATTGCTCTGTTTTGTATAACAAAGTTAGACGTTAGATGGAATTCTTTTACAAAAGAAAAACAATAGGACGACTTCAGAGTTAACACAATTTATTGTAATTTCTGTTGTGCTGTGTCTTTTTAAATTCACAGATTATTATTCTGACACAACAGGCGCGCAGGCTTTTCTTCCCCCACTTTCTCCTTGAACTTTTCCTTTTCCTTTTCTTTTTATTGGCATTCTGTGGGAATACATTGCATCTGTTAGCACTGGCAATTGTTTGGACCGCTTAAGACTACTCACCCCAGACTAATTACATGTATTGCTAAGCCTTCTTACATGTTCCTAAAGCATTTGTGATATTGAGAGATTACCTACTCAAAATACATACTTTAAAAGTTTCTACTTCAGAGATCAACTTTCTTGCTCTACCTATCAATCCAACATTAAACAACTAATTACAAATTGTGCCTAGATTAACAAATGAAACTAAGTATGAAAGGACTCTTCTTCATTCCTCCTTTCTATAGGTCTAGGGTTGTAAAAAACAGCTAAATTTAGTCTTGCCCTGAAGAAAGGATGGAGAAAGAAATGTGTGCCATTGTAATATATCACTTAAACAGAGGTATTTCTACGAACCCTTCTCGAAACAGATCTGACTGCTGATTTACCTTAGGAGTAACCGGAATTTGACATGCCTATAGATAGATAAACCTAAAACCTAGTCTCAAATGCCTAATGTAAATGTGGGTAAGTCTTAAAAAAATTTAACCAAAATGCCATTATATTTATCTAGATGTTGCCAAACATGGGATTATCATAATAATAAAATAAATCAGAAATACTTGTGGGTACCCATGGTTAATTATGATTAAAAACAAAACAAAACACAATTTCTTAAGCACAAATTAAACAGCCTTTATTTACTTGTTAGGTCAGAGCCAACAATATTAATTATTCTGAATGGCTCTAAATATTTCCCATATTTGGGTGGGGGCCACTGGTTAACAAATAATCATATCTACATATAAGTTAGTGCGTACATAAACCTCCTTATCTTTACTTTAGTATTATTAGTATTATTATTATTAGTAGTAGTAGTAGTAGTATCATTATTTCTCAGGACTTTAGAAATAACTTTAAAACATATTTTATGTGCAATCTAAGTACAAGTTTACTAATGCCAATCAGCAGACTGCAATAATTTTTATTTGAGATGGATATTAAGAATATTTATTCCTATGGGGCCAGCCAAGTGGCTCAGTTGGTTAAGTGCTCGCTCAAGAATGCAAGCTCTGAGCAACAGGGTCGCTGGTTGGAATCCCGTCCCGAGCTGAGCTGCCAACAGGTAGCAGGATGGCTCAGCTTAAAAAAAAAAAAAAAAAAAAAAAAAAAAAAAGAATATTTATTCCTATCAAAATATCCTCTGTCCCCTTCTCCTTACCACTGCCTTAATTACTCCTTCTCTATTCTGCCTAAAAGTCAGTTATTCAAATACAAATACATTAGGGAACAGGAAAGTAATGAATACATTCAAATTCAGAAATAGGCAAATTCTCAAATGAACAAGAGCTCCTTCATAACTCTCAGCATGAAGAGACGTTTAAAGGTTTTAATCTGCATTATTATTCAAGGGTTTTCAAAAAAAAGAAAGCTTTGACAAAAAATTCTTTTAAGAAAATAAATATAAAATATTAATTTTTCAATTTCTAAGTGAAAAGTTCATGTAAGGGAAAAAATATATATATACATATATATTACGGGGGTGCCAAAAAATGTATACAAGTGGACACGTTGGTGAACAGTGCTCAAGCAGTAATTCACTGTAATCAGAAGTGTCTGGACGCTGATGGTAAGTAACCACTTTGAGCACCTCTTATAATTGCAAAAGTCAAACATGACTTGTATTCATCTTTTGTTATTGGTATATATTGAGTATTACAATTTTAATACAGTTTTCCTTTCTTAACATTTTTATACATTTTTTTGGCACCCTCTGTATAAGTAAAACAAACAAAAAAAAGAAGTAACAGTAAATTTCCAAGTACTGAGTATAGGATCACAATACCCAAAATTAATTAAATTCTTTGTACTGTTAGCTTTGAAAACTTCAGAAGACTGCCTGACTACATGGCATAAAGTTTCACTGTATTTCCCATTTTAATGGTCATTCTTATGAAAGCACATTCTTAGAAGGCCAGGTATATGAAAGCAGTTATTAGTATTATTAATTTTTAGTAGAAAAAAATGGCATAAAATCAGAAATGAAAATATGGTACCATTTTATTTCACAGCATATCTCAAACTCATCCAATATTAACATGAACAAGAAATAGGAATGATGTTTCTTATCCATGTTAAGAGACAACCAGTTCTAAGATTTGATACTCTAAGGTCCAGTTCAATTTTGATTCTGTATGATCTTATTCAAACTGTTTAATTTCTGTATCTTATTATCTATAAAATGGAATAAGAACTGTACTATTTACCTTTCTGGTTTATGAGGTTCAAATGAAATATATATGAAACTGCTTCACAAACTTTTAAATGATTACAAATGTTCATAGTGTCAGAAGGGGATCAATAAGTTCCAGTATTATTAATATTCTTAAGGGGCCACAGTTGGCATTCAAATTAGGATGTACTGATGTGAAAATGTCTCACTGGCAATTAGTTATGTGACAAAGACTCATCACTTTCTTGAACCTAGTTCAAATCCAAAATCCTATTATATAAGGAATCTGAAAACTGTTTTCAGATAACACTAACCAAAGAAATTCTATTAAAACAACTTAAATACTATAGAACTCTATACCTTGAGTGGTGGCGTAGAACTTGGGGAAGCAGTCATCAGGCAGGCTTCTTGACTATTATAGGAAGGGCTATCCGTCAGGTTCAGATAGAGCTCATCCTCATCGGTGAAATTCCCCTGACTGCCCACTCCTGGAGAGATGCAGATTACTATGGCACTAGTATTATCTGCACGAAGCATACGCTGCCTCCAGCGGCCTAGTGCTCGATTCACAAGCATTTTGGCACAAGATTGTCCATGCTCACCCTATATTTGAAACAAGGAGAAGGTAACAACTCAAATTTAGTCAACATTACACCTCTATCAAATTAAAAATTAGGTGTTCAATATTACCTAAATAAATTAAATTTCAAACCTTATCCACAGAGCCCAAAACTATGTTAAAATACTACTACTCTAAATTTTAAAAAAATAATAAAATAAGGCCTTATATCCTGTAGTTAAATTTCACCAGTATTTTTATCTTTTTGGTTGCAAGAAACTTGGTCTTCAGTGTAACCTTAATTACAGTTTTTCAGGAAAAGTTATATAGCAGTTATATAAAAAAAGAAGTAAACATCAAGGTTTTACAGATAAAATTCACAAATGAGGTAATCAGGCATGGTAAAATAAATTAATTGCAAAGGGCCAATTTGCTCCTAAAATTGAGATTCTGCAAATCAAACCACCCAAAATAAAAATTGTCAAAGGACATGAACAGAATTCAGAGGCAAGAAAATATTAATGACTCTTAAACATATATATAAAAATGGTCAGTGTCACTCATATGAAGAAAAAAGCAACACAGTAAGTAGTTATGGTATAGAGATCAAATACATACCAACAGAAAAGAGTAAAAAAAAACCAAACTTCAATGACCTCATGTTATACAAATAAATGTGGCATTGAAAGAAAACTTTCAGCACCACACATGGAGTCAATAATTGCTAAGTTTCAAAGAACAGAAATGAAAATGATGTGCTCCAGAAAATAGGGCTACATGTCTTTAAAAGTACCTCTAGAAATAAATGAATGATGAGTGGAAATGGTTGAAAAAGAAATGTATTATGAACTACATGTGGAAATAGTATATATTAATATACTCTTAAGTACAAAAAAGGTACTGTACTATATGTATACTATACAATATATAATGTACTATATGATACCATAAGTATTATATAAATATACTGTAAATCGTCTGGCTGTTAGCTATATCCTGAAGCGTATATATTCAAACTGGATAAAGAACTGGAGGTCTTACTCCTTTCCTTGAAAAAACAGGCAATCTTTATTTGGGGTTGTCTGATCTTGAGCATGCTACAGTATTCCAACACATTAATAATGGTGAACTGTGGTAACTCCTCTCAACTGCTTTGATTAAAACCTTAATAATGTCATCCCTGCCTTCCCAAAATAAGTACCACTTTATAATGATTTTAAACACTACCACTTTCCCCGCTTTCTCATAGGTAAAATCATGCACCTCACAATTGAAGAAAGGCAGCATTAATTTCTAATTCATGAATCTATCAAATTCCCAAGTGCACATGTTTCATCACTCTCCAAACAGTGGCTCACTGAGAACTCACTGAAGGCCTGTTATCTTTCACTTTTTCAGTGTGCCCATTTCCCTTTCCAGCAAAGCTCCACAAAAAAAGAAATCTATATAAGCCATTTCCACCACTTTCCCTGAATCTTTCCCTCAGCTCACTGTTTCTGCTGATTTGAGCCCCCCTAATATCGTGTCCTTTTCTTCCACCATCCAGTCTCACTAGGTGATCTCATAAATTGTCATAGCTTTACCTATTATAACTCCTATTAACACTCAAATTAGTATTTCCAGGCTTCTCTCAAATATTTCTAACTACCTACTGAAAATATCTGGATGGACCACAGGTATCTTCAATTCAGCATGCTTCCATCTGAATTAATTTTCTCCTGTTTCCTCCAAAATAATGTGTTTCTTCTTGATAATAACTACCAGTCACCAGTTAGAAATTTGAGTGTCATATTCTCCCTCCTTAAAAACACATGCTCTGTCAATTCTACCACTCATGTGTTTCTTTTGTTCTTGTGTGTATATATTGTTATTTTTTTTTAAATCATTGCTGCCTTAGACCAAGCTTCCAAAATGTCTTATTTGGAATATAAGAGCAGCCTCCAAAGATGAAGCCTAAAAGACCCATTAATATAAAAATCAAACCAGTTATACATGTTGATAAGAATCAACATGTGACGAGTGGTGGAGACAGACCTTATAACTAACACTCCCCTCATCAAAATTCACCTTCTCTCAGGGATTCATATTCATTGCTGCCCCCGCATTCTCTTTCATTGCCAACACTGTATCAATTTAATATTAAAGGGCTAGATGGTTTTCCTACACCTCCAAATAAATATTGTGTTGTCGGAAAAGTCATGACGCATTTTTGCAACGAAATAGAAAAAATATTGTGCGTCATGACTTTTCCGACAACCCAATAGAATACTCACATCATTATCATCTACCCTCTATTTTATATTCCACCCTGCAAATGAGTAAGCTTTCTAAAATGTAGCTTTTCAGGGCTGGCCGAGTGGCGCATTGGTTAAGAACTGGCTTGGGATGCCAGAGGGCCCCGGTTTGGATCCCACATATGAGGGCCAGTGACACTGCCCTCTACAGCTAAGATGCTGAACAACAGCTCAACCTGGAGCTGGGTTGCCATGAGGTGATGGCGTAGGCTGCAGTCCCCTGCTGCAGTAGGTTGCCATAAGCTACCCTGTGTAGCCAGCGGCCAGCTGTCCAGAAGCCGGCGACTGATCTGCCTCACCCAGGAAGAGCGCAATGATGGTGCCAACTTGGGCCAGTGAAGCAACGTCCTCCACAACTAGACTGAAGAACAAAACGACAGCAACTTGTCTGTTCCCCTTCCCCCAATTCCCCAGTGCTGTTCCCCTCCCCCAATTCCCCAATAAAATCTTTAAAAAAAACCCAAAACTTTGGCATTTATAAATAGGTTCTCCCAATCCACTACAAACTGGCTTTTTGCCCCACCATGCCACTGGTGAGAAAAACACACAAATGTTTTTCTCTCTCTTTCTTGTCATCAAATAATTCTAAATCCAATAGACAAAATAGTCTTTATTTTATTTAATCTTTCTTTTACATCTGGTGTCACTGGCCAAATGCAACTAGGCTAGCCCCAAGGTTATAAAAATGAATCAAGACACGACTCTTATCTTTAAACAACTCACGATCAAATGGTATTGACAGCTATTTATATATACTATTTGTAACAACATGGTAAATGCTGAGCAAGGACCATATTCTATTTACCTTTGCATTCCTTGTGCTTAGTATCGAATATGTTAGCTTAGTGAATGAATGGATGCAATTTAATACAAGTTCTTTTAATTTGCCTCCTTTTTACCTTAAAATATAGCTTTAGCATTCCTCCCATCTTAGAGAAAGATCATCTTTTCTAAGGATAGCTGTTGATTCCAGTTATATCTATGTGCTCTGGATTTCATTCTATCAATACCCCTTATTTCTTTTGTATTGTTAATCTTTCTCTTAAGACTACAACATGCCTTTTCAAGGCCCTATGATTTCAAGCCAACAATGGCACATTCCTTGTCTTCTTGAACACTCACTACATCTATTTCCTAGGCTCACAAAGTTCTCTTTCATCACCACTTCCAATCTGTTAATGCCCTCATCACTTCAACTGAAACTCTTTATCCTTGAAGGTCACTAATAAAAGCTCCTAAACTGTAAAACCCAATACCCTAAACTCATCCATCTGTCTCTAGTTCTTTGCAGAATGACAGCATTGACTACTACCCACAACTCTCTTTCCTTGCCACCAGCAACACTGAGCTCTTCCAATTCTCCTTACTTTGTTATTGCTCAGAATAAAGAAAAAATCAATTTTCAAGCAAGTCAGGAAGGAAAAAATATTTTCTCATTGATGGATGGCTGCTTCTAGGTTTGAAATTGACTAAAAATAAAATAGATGACAAAGAGTTACCATCTGACCCAACAATTCCATTCCTATGTATATACCTAACAGAACTGAAAACATGTCCATATAAAAACTTGTTCATGGGGCCGGCCGAGTGGCGCGATGGTTGGGAACTCGCTTGGGATGCCAGAGGGCCCCGGTTCGGATCCCACATGAGGGCCAGTGACACTGCCCTCTGCAGCTAAGATGCTGAACAACAGCTCAACCTGGAGCTGGGGTGCCGTGAGTGAGTCGCCGGCGACGGCGACGGCGTAGGCTGCAGCCCCTGTGGCAGTGGGTTGCCATGGGCTACTGTATGTAGCCGGCAGCCAGCGTGAGCGGCCAGCAGCCAGCATGAGCGGCCAGCAGCCGCAGTGAGAGGCCGTCCAGAAGCCGGCGACTGATCTGCCTCGCCTGGGAAGAGCGCAATGATGGTGCCAACTTGGGCCAGTGAAGCAGCGTCCTCCACAACTAGA